ATTGGGTCTGAGTCAGCGTGTGTTACTCTTTTCTTCACCAGTTTTGTAAGTTTGAGAGCAAAACATCTTTGTGCTCTCTCTGTCCCCTCCTGTCCTCGGAGCTTGTTAGCACTGGAGTGGCTGCATAACCCGCTCCAAATGGCCAGTGGACAAGCACAGAAGTTTGCTTAAGAGTAGAATAATGACTGGAGACCCACTGCAGAGCTAAATCTAAACTGCTGACCCATGACAAGCTGTCCTCAGACCGTGAGAAACGGGCCTCTTTCCATGCCAAGAATGTGGGTGGCCGGCCTTGTTGCTCCAAAAAGCCTTTCTGAGGAGTGTGGCCAGTTGCAGTGCAACGACAGGTTTTTCTGTTTGATTTCTTGCAGGCAGGCTGCTGTTGTTATGTGCACATGTTGCCCTTTTTTAATTTGTTTTATTTGCCTTCAGACAGACCACGCTGTCATTCTTGTAATCTGTGTCTGTGTACAGCATGTACGAAGGGAAATGGAGCCGGTAGAGTGTATGTGTGTGGGTGAGGGTGGCTGGTGGAGGGGGGCTGTAATTCCACACAGAGTCTACTTCCACTTGTTAGGCAGCTTGTGAAATGAGACCAAAACTGGAAAAGGGATAAAATGCAGCCCACATTCACGAGGTTAATTCATTGGAAATTCCTTCGGATTTTGATTCTGCTTTTCTTTCTTTTTTTTGCTGATTCACTGGCCTGACGCATACACACATACACACACACAACACAACACACACACAACACACAACCAGCTACTAGCACATCACAAAGTGTATAAGGCATTGTGTAAAGTAATGAATACTCTGTGAGAGCACTGGTCACAGAGGATAAGAGGCTGCACTGTGCTGTCAGTTTGCTGCTCACACTGAAGGGGATTTCAGCTCCCTGGGCTTCAAACCCAGAGTAAAGGGGTCACGGTCTGTGCAAGATAGCAGGGGCCACAGTTTGTGTGTGTGTGTGAGTAACTGTGTGTGTGAGTCACTGCGTTACGCCAACAAACGAGACGCCATATGTTTCCACCCAGTCCACTGAAGAACAAATGCACCGTCCTTTTTCATGAGAGTTCCCAAAAGCGTCTGTTTTCATACTCTACCCATGTGTGGGTTAATGCAGCAAGAAGCAGTGAGCGGGAGACGTGGTCCACATCAATTATGTTGTAAAACAAGAATTAAATGTGTCCCACCTGTTTATGGTGTCCACGCAGAATGAAAAAAAAGTGTCTAATTTAAAAAGTGGGCACTTGCAAGTGGAGAACAGAGGTATCTTCCTTGAGGACATGATGATTTCTTGGTGGATAAAAAAGGTCTTTGAAGAAGTATTTTGATCATGTGACATTAAAAACCCTCACTTGAAACCAATACCAATGAAATCCCATAACTCCCTGAGGACTTGTGTATTGTGTAGCTTCAGCAACCAACCCATGGCAGGATTTTTTTATTGTCAAAACAATATTTTTTATGGCATAAGAATGTTTTTCTGTTCTTCAGATACAAATTCCACTGTCGTGGGCCATTTTTGACTGCTTTATTCTTGTAACAAAATGGTCATAATAAGTGTTCTAATCCCTATCAAATTTCCAGTATAAATTTGTTGTACATCTGCTACAGTATGTATTTTACATGTAATGTGTGAGAATAATTAAAACAAATGCTAAGCTTTTAATTGTATGTTGTAAGTTTGAAAGTTAATATATGATCTTTGAAACCCTGAAAAGTAATTTCTTCAAGAAAATCTTCTCACAGTAAACTTTTTTTTAGCTTTCAACTGCATCTCATGGTCTTCTTCAGCAGAGTTTGCGTGGTTGTCATTAAGTGTAAAATGCTACATCAACAGGGGGAAAAAGTAACAGGACTGAGTCAACAGTTTGGCACCGTGAGACTACTCCGGCACAGCGATGCTCACAATGAACATGCTGATGTGTTAGCAGATATAAAGTTTACCATGTTCATCATCTTAGCGTACATGTACCCAATTTCATGGCAGTCCACTTCAACGTGTCAAGATATTTCACTGTAAACCACAAATGTCTACCTCATCATGACCACGGTCAATAAAGTGGAAAACTGTGCGTTCCACATTGGTCAGTGTAGTGTGTACCGCTCCAGAACTCTGGCCCCCTTAGGTACAATGCTAATGTTACTAGCAATAGATTGCTACATTTAGCTAGATCTGCTTGATGATATTTTGCCGTGTAAATAGCATGTCTGTTTTGTCTGGTTTTGATATGAGGTCAATTAGTTATTGTTCAACTCTGGAAATTCAGAAACACCAGTTATTCGTTTTTCGTCCATCTTTCAGTTCAAGCAGTGGTCAGCAGCGATTGGCTGTGCCCTCAAAGGTCAGTGCAGCTAAGGTCAAAGTTCAACAAATTTGAGCTTTTGGTGCACCCCTGCTCCACTTGATTCATCATGGACATCTGTGCAGAGTGGCGCAACACCCCACATACACAGTAATGGAAGAGGCATGATACATTCTCTGGAAAACATGAATGTCTGTACAGAATTTTATTTTTCAATAGTTGTTGAGATATTTCAGTGTGGACCAAAGTGGTGGACCTACCAACTGATAGACCATCTGTCACTGCTGTCCCATAGCTTTGCTAAAAATATAACACAATACTAATACCAAAAACTGGAAAAATAATGACTGGCTGTAAAACCACATTGGTGCACTTTCAACAGCTACCTGGCAGCTCTTCCTCTGTCTAAGTGGTCAAGCAAAGTGTGTTTACAATCCTCCAATGAGGGAACACATCGTGTTTGGGCTTCACTTGCCAGATTTTGCCACTCAGCCTTTTAGGCTTGCCTTCCAGCATTTGGCCTACAGACCTTGTGCACTGTAGAAAGTACTACAGGCCCAATCTTATCTGGTCCACTGTTTGCAGTGTCGGATTGCTTCAGAACAGATATGAAATAGAAGCCTTTGTTTTACAAAACAAATGAGTGTGATACATTTTTGTAAAGTTTATATGCAGACAGTGGCACACAATCATCCACACTTTGTAACTGTCAGTCCTCTGGTCTTGTCTGACCAATATGTAAGCCAAGAACTGCCATTTTTTAATGTTATTATCTTGAGATCACAAGGTAATTTTTTATGTCATGTGGAGAAAACGTGATTTGTTATCTCGAGAAAACGAGACAACAAAAGGTCGTTTCCTCTCATTACTTTTATGAGAGATCAGGAGTGATATGCCAGCATGCACAGATGGCGTATTATAGATGTAGCTTGGGTCACAGTGACAGTGCCACTTTTTTTTCATACTGACCAAAATGAGCCAGCAGCCAGGGAAGTGCACAAGAAGAATCTGGACAATGCAGCGATCTTTGAGCTCATTTAATAAATCTCCATCTTTAATATATTACATATAATATGCATATGGTTTGTCAGTATTGCATCACATTGCCAGGAAATGAATATCTTAAATGAACTCTCAGATGTAGCTACATTCTGGTAACAACTCTTTTCAGTTTAGTTATGATTCCCCCCCCAACAGTTGCAACAGTAATCCTGAAGGCTGATGAACCAAACGCTTCTCCATAATTATCCTGTGATCTCAAGAAAACAAAAATTGTTTTAAATGATCTTGAGAAATCTGCCTTTTGTTTTCTTGAGATAACAAAATAAATCAACTCATGATGTCAAGATAACGGCAATAAATATAAATGGCAAGTCTTTCCATTCTAGGCTTCTGTAGATGAATGAGTCATTTCAAACCCCATGAAGGCACTCCCAGATGTTCTGATCACTTGCAGTTAGCACCAACAAGATCCATAGTATCTGCTGAGCAAAAAAGATGTGTTAATTCTGAGTCAGAGAACACAACAGACTGAACTTTAAAGACTACATGCAACATGCTCTACTAACCCTATACCAATCTCCTCTGAGAGAATTTCACACTAAAGGACAACAAAGGCAGAAGCTCTATGATAGTTTCTCTCTCTTTGTGGACAGAGCACTAACACGCTGCTGTAAACTAGACAGTTTTGTATTTCACACTCCAGTATGAAATGTGTTGTTTTCTTTGGGTGGAGAAGTGTTAATACCCCACACCAAAATTCTATTTGGCCAAAAATAGCGAATCTACAAGGTGTCAGTGAGTGATAAGAAGAAACTGCTATCTGCCAGCCCTACTTTGTGATTTTCGCCAATAAGACTTGTACCACCCTGGCTGGTCTGTTCACTGTGACCAGACAGACAGCAAACAGACCATTTTTCTTGCCAGTTCCAGCAGAAAGAGAGTTGTCTCTCAGTAGCTCCAGAATTTGCTTTGAATCCATAACAATGTGACTAAAAATGTGCATTTGCCGACTCCAGCAGTAAGAATTCCCACTTAAAGGTCATTCCACTAGATCGGTCCTTCAGCTGGAGGGTCACTCCCCTGCCGAGGTGTCCTTCGGCAACACAATGAAGGCCTACTACTATCTTCAGGGCGGGTGCTCTGTAACTGACCTCTGATCTTCAACTTGTACATTAGATCAGTATAGTATATCATTGACATTGTAGGCACTATCCCAACAGTCAGACTAGTATTGTTTAATTATCCAACTTTTCCTGCATAGTTTTCATTCCAGTCACCTTAAAAACCCTGGGCAGTATTTTTGCACATTCCTGCACAAAACTGTACAGCGCTTTCATTGTTAAAGAATAGTAAAATTGTAATACATTGTATAAATGTTAGGATTTTTTTGACTTTATTGTTTTCTATGCTTTAATGTGAAAACATCCTGCTAGTGTCAAACTCTGCACATTCTGCACAGTGAAGCTCGAACACTGTAGGAATCAGAAGAAAAACATACTTTAGACTGGAGGAGGACTTTAAGTATAATAACCTTGACCTGGTTCTGAAAACATCAACTGAGTCTTGTTTTTCCCCTTTGTTTGCATCTTCTGCAGCAGCAGGCTGATCTGCTCATTTTGCAATCACAACTTTCTCCTCCCTCCCTCAGCACAACTTTTGGGAAGCTAAAAAAAAGAAAAACAACTTTTCCTCTCGCGATAGTAGCTTGCTTATGCAGCCGCCATATTCTGTGACAGTATTTTGATTCGTATCTGCTGGAAGTGAGGAAAAAGAGAAAAGTGAAGGGCTGTCGAGGGGAGGGGGGGGCTGAAGAAGAGGAGCTGTCAAAAAGGTATTCCCGAGTCCCTGTCAAACGGCGGAAGGCTGAGGCTCGGTATCCCTCCCCTAACGCTACTTCGAGGACACACAAGGCCCGGGGCCTCGGTGCAGTTGGCTCTTCGTCTCCCTGGTAGTAGCTGGACCCTTCTCGGCTTCTCCTCTCCGAGCTCCGCGGCCCTCTGGAGGTCCGGCGGCGGTCTCGGGTGTTGAAGGCGGCCCGGGGAGCGGCGGCGGTGGCAGCGGAGACGGAAAGGTAAGTTCCAGTAAGTTAACTAGGCTTTCGCCACTTAGCAGCAGCCGGAGGAATACAGATTTAATAGCGTTACTGTGAAATGAAAAGGCGTTGGAGCGCCTTGTGCGACAAGCACTTTCACACACCGTGCAATTCAGTTTGAAAGAAAATGGAGAGAAAAGGTTTTCAGATGTGGAAAAAGTTTTTGTCCACAGCAAGCAGCTAGCTGGGTTAGCTAACTTGAAGTGTTTGGAGGCTGTTCCCGTCTCGGCCGAGTTGGCAAACCACTGTGTAAAGTTTAAAACACCTTCGTAGCCTCTCCCCAAAGTCCACTTTAATATTAATATCTGTAAATATATATTAGGGGTCTTTTTATTTTAGCATAACGCTGGCTGGCGCTACATGTTTTGTAGCCCATGTTAGGCTACTTTTTCCATTGAGCTCTCCTTTGAAACGTCGCAAGACCAGTCGTGGATGGAAACGTTAAATCATACAATTGTAGCTTCACTTAACTTCACACACGGAGTATTTGATCTCCAACAAGCCTCAAAATGAGGCACCTCGAGTAGCTGTTCATCCCTTTGCTCCAACACTGAAACTATTTTTTGTGTAACATGGAAACTTAACTTATTAGTAACCCAGCTGCCTAGCCAGTTTAGTACAGTTGTGTGTCTGCATCAGAGGATTTATCACAAGTAAATGTCTTCACTATATGTATCCTGTCGTTTTTATAGTAAGATCATGTAAATAAAGCTTCTGAGGGTTGACTGGGGACATTATAGTGTTGCACAACTGCAGCCAAGTTAACCTAAAGGTGACACACAAAGCTGGTTGTTTTCAGAAAAATAAGGTGATGAGTGAGTCACTTCACCTGTTTGATATCTTTCTGACATTGTCCCTCTTGGATTGGATGTTCCCTGTTTGTGGCAGTTGAGATGGAAACTTATTAGGGGGGTGGGTCTGAGCCTTTGCCAGCCAAAATGACAGCTCAGTTGTTGTTGTTTGTCTTCTTGGTGTAGTTAAGATGAGATAACCTAACCTGTCATGATTTAGACTTTTCTGTCCTGGTGTATTTGTTCTTGCGAAGCCACTAAAGGTGCTGGGATGGGCTGGGAGCCACAGGTTGCAACATCTGACCTATTTTTTTTATTTTTTTGCTTGTTTGTTTGTCAGGCAAGAGTCAGGTAATGGGAAAACAGGAGACATGGAAGTTGTTTCAAAGATTTGATGGAACATGTAAAATATGCATGTTCACAGAAGATCTGTGATTCGTTGCTTGTTGGTTGTTTTCTTGCAGTCCAAATTGATTTTAATCATGGTGATTGTAACCAAATGTAACTCGTATATTACTGCTTGATGACAGGTATTTTGTTATTGGAGTGTGTAGTTATAAAGCCTCTTTCAATTCATGCTAGCATTTGGCCATTTGTGGTGGTCTACTTCTTGGCACAGTGAAAACCCCTCTGGGTGTGTTGAAAGTGTGTTTCTCCATGTTGTATCACTTAGGCTGGGCTTCATATTAACACCAGCCACCAGTCAAAATGATGCAAAATGTTGGTTGTGGCTGGAAAGTCTGTCAGCTCTACCAGCCAGTTTGGCAGGTAATCAACCTGTTTCCAATGTGGTGTTGTTATTCTGAAACTGGCAGCTAATAAATGGAATTTGCTCTTTGAAGACTTGTATCAACATTGTGACATAGAAGTTTGATTTTCACTTTGGTGTAGGTAGAATTCACACATTCAAAGTACAACCTACCTGACTGTGGTTTTTAATATCCAGGCTTCTTATGTGACTCTCTATCCTCAGCAGACGTCGGCTGACTCAGCTTTGAAACGCTTGAGTTTATTTACAGCTCTAAAGAGCTCAGAGTCACTTCTCTGTGGAGCCTACAACACCTACAGTCTAAACCGTGTTGTCAAAGGTAGACTGCAAGAGTGTATATCATTCATTAGCAGCTTGTGCCTGTCTTGACTTGCAGTCAACATTGCACTTCCTGACCAATAAGCTGCCATGGCCAACTGTTTATAGGTGCAGACCCCTAACTGAAACCATGTGTGCCTGTAGCTGGGCAAATATGTTGCTAGGAGGCCTTGCTGATTTGCCACTCTTCGGAGACTCAGCAACGAATGCTCAGAGCCTGCATGATAAGTACTAAATCAGGATTTTGGTGAGGATTGTGCACTTGTACACAACAGCAGGCTGCTAATTGCTTTGTTTGGATGTCATTTGGCGTCTGCGAACAGGCTAAATCAACACAGTTAAGTGACAGCACAGATTACAGAGCTACACTCAGTGTGTGACCTGAGGTTCCTCGATGCTTGTTGATGGAGGTGAAGAATTGGGCTCACTTGTTGTGTTTGCTTTCGTACAATAAACAAGCAGGACTAACACTTGTGTTTTGAGAACTTGTACAACGAGCTGAAGCTGTGGCGTGATGTCCCGAGGTCTGTGCCAATACTTAAGTCTTCTTTCCTGAAAAACCTGTTTCCTGATTTATCATTTGCAGTTTGCACAATAACTTATCACCAGTCAGCACGAAGGGTGGGGGTGTGTAGTTTTCCCCCTTTCACAAGGGGGAAGGATAATTACTGCATATGAGTGTGTTTGGATGCAGCACAAATGCTTGTTGTTTGGATCAACAGTGCAGAGTCAGTTTAACCCAGGAAACAATATTGGCTTACCTTTCTCTTTCTCTGTGTGTCACAACGGATTCACTGTAACAGGCTGCAGACTCTGCATTAGTGTACTTATAACTTGATACTTGTTCTCTCAGGCAGCCCTCTGCTCAGTGACCTGCCAACATACGTTATTATACAGTGTGTGTTGTTTCAGTGTAAAAGTGTCAGGGTAAGACCTGTAATGCCAAATGGGAATCCAGTAGGTGGAAGGGAAGGATCCATCACATTATGCCCAATGCTGCAGACTCAGGAAGAGGGCTTGGTGTTTTTAACCCTCCCCCACTCCAGTGTGTGGCTGTCAGGAAGAGAGGCTCTCATTGGAGCCCCCTCCCCCTGTCCAGCTCTCCTGACTTCTCCGCTTTAAATGGAGTCCTCCATTACACATGCTGCTCATGGTCCTCTCCAGTTCAAGGGTTAAATTGCATGCATGGAGCCTGACACTGCACAGTCCACTACACCTTTAGCTGCTTGTTACTTTCACAGTTTGGGTTTTGGAGCGGTCGCCACTTCTGTAGCACTTTGTAGTTGTGCACGATAAAGCTGCATTAATTGAACTTTTTTGGCCACTTGGAGGCAGAAGAACTTTGACAAACTCAACCTTAAAACAGTCTGACTTTCTAATTGCCCAGTAGACACTGCATTAGCATTCTTTTTTTTTTTTTTTTTGGTGGCCGTGAAAAATGCAAGAGGCCCTATCTAGAGCCAGTGTGTGGTTTGTCCCTCTGGGCTACTGTAGAAACATGGCGGCTCAATATGTCAGACTCCATAGTGGAGGACCCACTCCCTCTGTAGATAAAAGAGCTCATTCTAAGGTAAGGAAAATTCTTATAGTCAGGTGATTATACATATATTTCTGATTATATTCCTATAAATATTATGTTCCATTTCTGCCAGTAGATCCCTAAATCTAACATACTAGACCTTTTTTAACTCTGGTTTGGTCTAGATCAACTCCTGTGAGCAACATCTGGGTCCTTGACTTTCTATAGCAGCCGGTCACTAACTGTCTGTGCAGATATTTGATTACATTTGGTTTATTATAGCTTGTTTGCTGTAAACATCTGCCTGCTGCTGGAAAGGGTTGAGGAGAGCTGTGAAGCTGAAGCACACAGTCATTTTGGGGGCTGTGAAACGATGAATAAAAAGTGATCTAAATCAGACAGACAATGAGTAGTCATGTCTAATATAAGCAGGGATTGAGTCCATTTCCTTACTGAACAATGTGATATTCTGTGGACACAGTTAAGTTTGTGCTCTATACCCATCCATAAGTTAGACATTTGTTTAGCAGATGCGATGACAAGCCAAGTTTTATATGTCAAACTGACTAACTGCATAGGTGTTGCAGCAACGTACAGATTAGCTAATACAGATAAGGTAATGAAGATATATGAAGACTAAGTAATGTCTAATAAAAATGTAAAGTGTTGCATCATAAAGATGTGGCTCATTTCTAAAAGACAGCTGTGATCTTATCCATTTATATTGAACTAAAACTGACCTATCTCAGTACAGTATTCCATTTGCTTGATCTGGAAAATAAAGAGAAGTGCCGCTGGCGTTTTCCATTTCAGCTGCTGGGCACAGTGATGTTTCTCCTGAGCTCTCAGTTCTCAGTTAGTTGTCATTTATGGTATTTCTCCAGGTAGTCCGCAGGTTCTTCTTTGAGTCTTAAAAAGTCAGGTCTTAACAATTGATTGATTAATGAGGTTGCATTTTTCAGTCTTCTTTTAGAAATCTTTTAAATGTGTTTTGGGGGACATTTGTATTAATCCTGCTGTAACAACCACAAAATGAAATCAGCATGGAACCAATACTGATTTTCCTTACTTTAAATGGCATTCATAATAGCCTTTTAAAAAAGATCTTAAAATGTCTTAAATGTAACTTGTTGCAACATGCAAAACCCTGTTCTTAGATGTTCCTGTATATTCCAATGTGGTGGCTCTTCTCATCATACGATACATATTTTCAGACACTTACCCTACCAGTTGGAAGGTCTAATTTAATGACACTGAGGAAGTCATTTTAATCACGGTTTGCATAACAGAAACCATCCCAGGAATTTTGAAGGGCTATGGTGCCACTCAGGACTTAGCTTGAGTGATAATGTGTGTGTAATCTTGCTGGCTGATTTGTCAGGGCCTGTGTAGCCTACAATTTGTAATCCCTAGTAGTAACCCTACCTTCAGTGAGTCCTTTCCACTTCAAACTTTGCCACACTGTACAATTCAGGTAAAAGTTGCTGCTCTCGTCATTTCGTTATTGCAGTGCTTTGAGATTCAGTTCCACTTTTTTGGCCTCGCTTCTGTCATCATGCCTTTACACCTCTCCCTCTGCACTCAAACATATT